CCGCAACGCCTGTGAACTTTATTTTGCTTTGCAACCCCGCACTACACTCTCTTCAGCAGGGTCGCAGGGCAGCTGAGGACTATGTAACAGAATTCCGGCGTTGGAGCGCTGATACCAATTGGAACGATGTTGCCCAACAATACCAGTTCCGCTTAGGCCTAGCCGAACCCCTTAAAGATGAGCTAGCTCAAGTCGGGGTACCAAACACATTGGAAGAGCTCATTAACCTGGCTATCCAGATTGACCGCCGACTTAGGGAAGGAAGGTTCGAAAGGTCCGCTGGCCAAGTTCGCCCTATGTGGATGCTATCCAGGGTATCACTTCCAGTGAGCATGGTACCAACCAGTCCTGCTACACCCAGTACTGATGAATCTGAACCTATGTAAATAGGGTTGCTACTAACCTCACTCACCCCGGAGGAACGTCAACGCCGCCGACAGGGCAACCTATGCCTCTATTGCGGAGAACCTGGCCATTACGTACGGAACTGCCCTGCAAAGCTACGTAAGTCTCTGACCACCCTGCCTTCTAAACTATCAACCCTGCTCACCTTACCATTTCCATCTCATTCCAGCTTTCGGGAAGAACCCTGCCAGTACCCGCTATCATTGATTCTGGGGCCTGCAGTTGTTTTATCGATGCAACCTTCGCTCTTCAGCACCAGATACCCTTAAAGACTAAGATACTGACAGTATATCTGGCCGACAGATCTAACTTTGTCTGGGGTAGTCACACAGGAAACGATCCCACTACCTGTGGTAGTATCTCCATCTGGAGATAACCTCACAATGAAAAACAGATACAGGATCCTCTGCCACTAGTCCCAGAACTATTCCAGAGGCTCAGATCTGCGACCATATTTACAAAGCTGGATTTAAGAGGGGCATACAATCTTGTAAGAATCAGAGAAGGAGATGAGTGGAAAACAACCTTCCGTAACAGGTTTGGGCACTTCGAGTACTTCGTTATGCCCTTTGGACTGTGTAATGCCCCTGCAACTTTCCAGCACCTAGTGAACAACGTTTTCAGAGACTTTTTAGACATTTTTGTGATCGTTACCTTGACAATATTTTGATCTTTTCCACAGCCATCGAACTTCACCGGGGTCATGTGCAGAAGGTCCTCGGTCGCCTCCCGACTACACAGGCTTTACGCAAAACTAGAAAAGTGTGAGTTTAAATGCCAGAGCATTCAATTCTTTGGATTGATTATATCCATTGAAGGCTTCAAAATGGATCCCCAGAAAGTCTCCGCCATCCTGGAATGTCCTGCACCATCTGATAAAAAAGGAGTACAACACTTCATAGGCTTCCCCAACTTTTACAGGAGGTTCAACAAAGGATTCTTAGCCATCATCACTCCTATCAACCAACTGACCAAACAAGGATTCCGATTCCTTTGGACACCGGAAGCCCAAAACACTTTTGACGCATTAAAGGGACTTTTTACCTCAGCTCCCATATAAAGCCATCCGGATCCAGCACTACCCTTTGTGGTAGAAGTAGATGCCTCAGAGAGTGCTGTTAGGGCCGTTCAACCGCAGCGACAAGGTCTGAAACTCCTGCTTCATCCTGTTGCTTTCTTTTCCGTAAGCTATTCCTGGTGGAAAGAAACTACGATTTAGAGGACCAAGAATTACTGTCCATCAAATCAGCCTTGGAGGAATGGAGGTACCTTTTGGAGGGAGCAGCACACCACATTCTGATCTATACCGATCACAAGAATCTGAAGTACCTAAAGACTGTGAAACATCTAAAACCCCGACAAGCCAGGTCGGCACTCTTCTTCTCTGGGTTCATATTCCACATTACCTATAGATCAGGCTCTAAGAATATCAAACCCGATGCTCTGTCTAGGATGTTCGATGTTCCTAAGGATCCTCCTACCCCTGATACAGTGCTCTCAACAGGCAACTTCTGTCTTTTGCAACCAGACCTTTTTTCGCAGATCCAGCAGGCATCTTTGGGGGATCCATCTCCATCAGGAATAACTCTGTCCTCTAGAGAAGGGTTACTATGGTAAAGAAACAGAATCTTTGCACCAGAAACTACCCGACTGGCAATTTTAGGGCTTTGTCATGTCCATCCGCTGGCAGGACATTTCGGGGTCCACAAGACCTTAGACCTCGTGCAGCGCCTGTTCTGGTGGCCTGAGTAGGAGAAGGACTGCAAGGCTTATGTAAATTCCTGCCCCACATGTATACGAAAAAAGGGTAACAGAAGCAAGACCTGGGGGTTATTGAAGCCTCTACCAGTCCCTGACCGTTCGTGGAAAATGATAATAATGGACTTCATTGTAGAATTGCCACCATCAGAAAGATGTTCGGCTATTTTTGTTATAGTGGATCGGTTTCTAAGATGGCCCACTTTATTGCCATGAACAGAGTACCATCTGCAGCAGAAACGGCCCAAATCTTTATAAGAGAGGCGGTGAGGCTCCATGGTGTCCCATGGAACATTGTCTCGGATCGAGGGGTGCAATTCACCTCAAAGTTCTGGAAAGCTCTTTGCGAGAAGTTGAAAGTGGGACTCTCACTCTCTTCCACTTATCACCCTCAGACCAACGGCCAAACAGAACTAACCAGACCTTGGAGAATACATTCGCTGTTTCACGTCTTTTTCCCAAGATGACTGGGTATCACTTTTACCCTTGGCTGAATTCGCATACAATAATTTAAAAAAAATGGCCTCAAAACAGTCTCTCTTATTCTATAACTATGGATTTCATCCTGCATTCCTATCCAATCTAGTGCCTGAATCATCAATCCCAGCAGTCCAAGATACCTTTTGAATTCCTTCAGCAGAACAACAAGATGATACAGGAGACAATCTCAAAGGCTCAGTTAGACAACAAGAAATTCTTTGACAGAAAAAGGAAGGGGGACCTGGTCCTGAAACCTGGCTAAGTGGTATGGTTGTCAACAGCTAACCTAAGGTTAACCTGTCCCTCAAAGAAGTTCGGCCCCAAATTCGTGGGACCTTTTCCAGTAAAAAGGAGGATTAATGATGTGGCATACAAGCTTACATTACCAGAATCACTAAAGGTCCACCTCGTATTTCACGTATCGTTGCTCAAGACTGCAGTCTCTAACCCCTTTTCAGGTCGAGAATTGGGGCCATCTGAACCAGTGATCATCAACGGTGAAGAGGAATATGAGGTAGAAACAATTGTTGACTGTAGGAAAAGGAGGAACCAGCTCCAATATTTAATTAAATGGAAAGGTTATGGACCTGAAGACAATTCATGGGAACCAGAATCTAACATCCACGCTAAAGATTTAATCGTGGCATTCAAGTGCAGGCATCCAGAGAAGATGGGGGCACTGTCAGGGTTCTCTCCTCCTTTCAGCCGTGCGTCAGTGCCAGATCTCTTCTGGCCCTGCGGCGAGTGCGCATGTGTGGGAGCGTGCAGGTGTGCATGCTCAGGAGCGTGCGAGTGCGCACAACTAGCGTACGTGTCACCACAAGGTGGGCTATTTAAACCACCAGTACAGTTTAGCCTATGCCTTCTGGGCTGGAACGTTCTGCACTCCATAACCTGATTCTGTTGCCTGTATCTGATCTGACCCTGACTAAGAAAGAACTCCGCCTGCACCGACCCCAACTTATCCCTGACTATCCGCTTGCCTGCTCCCTTGTACTTGATTTGCTCATTTGATCCTGACATGGCTTGTCTGACTCTGCGGCACATACTTACCTGTATCTGCACCTGGCCTGCATCCTGGTTACCGCCATACTTGCCTGCTGCCACATCTACGCTCCTGCGTCCGTTCCTGGTCTGCATCCTGGTTGCCACCATACCTACCTGCTGCTGCACCCGTGTTCCTGCTTCTGCACCTGGCCTGCGTCCGGATCTCCTGGTTCTTCACCTGCCTACCATCCGCTCCAGACCCACCCGGCACTCGTGCCACTCCTGGCTCCGCGCCCTTTGTTCCCACTATCAGGGGCTCCGAGCGGGAGTAGTAAGAGGATGCCTCCTCTCCACGTCAGGCTCCTTAACCAGGTACGTGACAGAGGAGGTTATTTTCCAGTCAAGTCCACAACTTAGAGGATGTGCCATAATGCCAATCAACTAGAATAATCAGAGAGGCTGCATGAAAATAAAGCAACAGGTGGGGTAAAGACATCTCTACCCTGTTCTTTGGCAGGGACAGGATCGTCTGTCAAAGCCTGCAGGTGGGGGAGCTGGGATATCTTGAAAAGTATACAGTACTTTTGGTAGAATATCCATTTTAACAGCACTTACCCGCTCGCACCACACGCACCTCAGTATGTTTGACTTGTCATATGACTCAAGACACAAGTGGACCACTTGTAAAAGAGGAGTATAGTTAATGTCTGGTAATGTGGATGGTATTTGATGGCCTTCTGCTGCCGTTTAAACACAAAGTTACGTCAAAGAAGGAATACAGTCCACTGAGGTAAGGAGACATTTAAGGCCCCCATCTTTGCATAATTTACTTTGAAATTGTTCACTGTCCAAAATTCTTCTGGCGTTCACATAAGGGACAGTATAGAAATTAGAGGATTGGTAATGTAAATTAACCACTTGCCTACCAGGCACTTATACCCCCTTCCTTACCAGGCCAATTTTCAGCTTTCAGCGCTGCCGCACTTTGATTGACAATTGCGCGGTCATGCAACATTGTACCCATATGAAATTTTGATCATTTTTTTCTCACAAATAGAGCTTTCTTTTGGTGGTATTTAATCGCCACTGGGCGCTTTACTTTTTGCGCTATAAATAAAAAAAATTGCAAACAATTTGAAAAAAAAAAGTTTATTTGTTTCTTTTATAAAATTTTACAAACGGGTATTTTTTTCTCCTTCACTGATGTGCGTTGATGAGGCAGCACTGATGTGCGTTGATGAGGCGGCACTGATGGGCACTGATAGGCGGCACTGATGGGCACTGATAGGCGGCACTGATAGGCAGTACTAATTAGGGGTCACGGATAGGCGGCACTGATATGCAGCACTGATAGGCGACACTGATTATGGGTACTGATAGACGGCACTAACTGGCATCACTGCTGGGCACTGTCTGGCGGCACTGACTGGCACAACCCCTGGGCACTGACTGGTGGCACTGACTGGCAGCACTGCTGGGCTGCACTGGTGGGTGGGCACAGGTGGGTGGGACTGGTGGGCACAGGTGGGTGGCACTGGTGGGCACAGGTGGGTGGGCACAGGTGGGTGACACTGCTGGGCACAGGTGGGTGGCACTTCTGGGCACAGGTAGGTGGCACTGCAGAGTGGCACATGTGGGTGCACTGCTGGGCACAGGTGGGGGCACTGATGGGCACAGGTGGGTGCACTGCTGGGCACGGGTGGGCGGAGCTAGTGGGCGCACTGCTGGGCGGAACTTGCGGGTGTCACTGCTGGGCACCGATCATCAGTGCCCTGATGATCGGTGCCGATCCCCGCTCTGACAACTGCCGGTTCTCGGCAGTACTTTCCTCACGATCTGACAGCGTGAGGAAAGTGCAGCCGAGAACCGGCACTTGCATTTCCCTGTGATCAGCGTGTCATTGGACACCGCTGATCACGTGGTAAAAGGCCGCTGTGATCTCTTAATTTACGTTACCAGTGACAACCTACTGTAATACCTTTTAATGTCAGGATTCTGCCTTATGGCTTTTGCCAGGTGTTCCATGGTGAGACTGTAAAGCAGGGGGGAAAGGTGACACACTTGTCGAGTACTGTTATGGATCCTAAAAGAATCCAAAAGGAGGTATTGGAATGGATCCATGCCGAGAGGCATTTATACAGGGCTAAAATTGTTTTCAGAAAGTTAGGACTAAGTCCTTTCTGCCGAAGCGTATGTTGGAGAGAAGACCAATGGACCCTGTAAAATGTTTTTTTGTCATCTACTGAGAGTAGGCACACCGTGATTTTGCATTTCTGAGCATATTTCATTATGATAAGTGTTTTAAGGATATTGTCCCTTGCTTCCCTCACCGGAGTAAATCCCACTTGGTCCAAGTGGACCAAATCAGGGACCAGGGGCTTAAGGCAGTTGGCTATTTAGAATACATTCAGATATCAATATTCCTCAGGGATATAGGCTGATAGCTGCCACAGGAAGGATCTTTGCCCAGTTTAGGTAAAACGGTAATATGCGCTTCGTGTGCCTGTGGCAGGAACGGAGAATATGGCTATACTGTGTAGAAAGTCTTTGTCAGAACAGGTAGAGGAAGATCTCAAAAAGTTTTATAAAAGTGGGCTGTATACCATTCTGGACCTGGGCTTTTGTTATTCTGCAAAGAGGTAGGAACCAACGCCATCTCTTCCTCCAAAAAGGTTTTGTCAGAGTCTTGCATCGAGCATGAGGGAATTGTGGGGAGAGCATTCTGAGATACATAATCCACAATTCTAGAGGTAGTTGGAGTCAAAAGGACAAGATGGAAAATTATGTAACTTTTCATAAAAGGAACTAAATAAGCCATTCATTTACTTAGAGTGGTTAGTAAGTTGATTACATTAGACATTGAGTGTCAGAGCCTGGGCCCGAACCTTTATGGATATAGAATTTGCCCACAGCGATAATATTCAAGCAAGTGTCACAAGTTAGCCTGCAGTTTCTTGTTTGTATATTCTTGCTTCCTTGCTGCAGTGCTGTTCCTGATCAATTTCACATGTGTGCTTGTCTGTGCTCACCTATGGGGGTCGTCTGCTGTTCTCTGGGTTTTAGTTCCTTCCCTTCTATCACTTCCTGGCTCACCTCCTTGTTTGCCTGCCTATATAAGACATGCTCAGTCTAGGCCACTTTGCCTGAGCAGCTTTCTAGTTGTCTGAGCTCCTGTGTATTGCTATTGCCTGTATCCTGCATTGACTACTTGTGTACTGACCCCGGCTTCGTTCTCTGACTGTGCTTGTTTTCCGCCCATCCTGACCTTGGCTAGTCTATCAGATTTTCGTTTGTCTCCTCCCATTGTACTCTGCTCCTGCGAGCAGTCTCCTCATCCTCAGCTGAAGTTGACTATCTACAAGGGCTCACTACCACAGGTGCTGACAGCAAGAAATGCATTTACCCCTATTGATATGGAGACAGTTGATGGTTCACCCTTATCTTCAGGACCTGTTACCCATAAAACGGTTCCCCTAGTACTGCAGTTTGAGGCTGACCATTGTGGGACCATCAGCTTTCAGCTGATTACATCACCCAAATTTCCTATCATCCTGGGCATTCCTTGGTTCTCCACTCACAATCCCTCCATTAATCAGGGAGCACGGACTATAGATTTTATGTCCCTCACTGTGAAAAATACTTTAGGGAACTTTGTCGACCAAGTTCTTTACCAGCCAAGGAATCACAAATTGATTTGGTAGCTAACCAGTCATATGACAAATTGCCTCCACAATACCATGAGTTCCAGGATGTCTGTGACAAGAAAAATGCCAATCAATTACCTCCTCATCGCCCATATGATTGTCCCATTGAGCTGCTCCCAGGGGCAGAAATACCTGCTGGCCGCCTTTTCAATCTGTCAGAACCTGAATTAAAGGTGCTCAGGGAGTGGCTCAATGAGAGTTTAGAGCAGGGCTTTAGTAGACACTCAACATCTGCAGGAGCAGCCCTGTTCGTTGAAAAGAGACTCCACCTTGCATCCATGCTTTGATTACAGAGACATGAATAAAATCATATTAAAAACTGCTATCCACTACCTTTGATCTCTGAAATGTTGGGAAAGACTTAGTTCTGCCAAATTCTTTACAAAACTTGATTTACGAGGGGCATATATCCTTTTCTGCATTCGTCAAGGAGACGAATGGAAAACCGCCTTTAGAACTAGGTATGGGCATTTCGAGTCCTTGGTTATGCCGTTTGGACTTTTCAACGTCCCTGTGACTTTTAAGCATTTCATCAACGATGTTTTTCGTGATCTGTTGGAGCAATTTGTGATTGCTTATCTGGATGATATTCTTATCTTTTCCGATAATCGGGAGGAGCACCGCAAACATGTTTGCACTGTCTTTGAAAGATTAAGGAAGAATAAACTTTACATTAAATTGGAGAAATGCAAGTTTGAACAAACCCAGATCCAGTTCTTAGGCTATATCATTTCTCCAGAGGGAGTGAGCATGGATCCTGAGAAGATCAAAGCAGTGGTAGATTGGTCAGCCCCTGGAAATGTTAAGGAAATTAAACGTTTCGTCGGGTTTGCCAACTTCTACAGAAAATTTATATAAGAAAGTTTTCTAAGGTGATAGCTCCAATTACACAGCTGACAAAGAAAGGGGTACCCTTCGTGTGGACCCCTGAGGCACAGGCTGCTTTTGGAAAGCTAAAAACTCTTTTTACTTCTGCACCAATTTTGGTACATCCCGATCCTGAACTACCCTTTATAGTGGAAGTGGATGCTTCTGACTCTACTGCGGGAGCTATCCTGTCTCAGTGAAGTGATGAAAAAATGCAGCTTCATCCTTGTGCTTACTTTGTTTGATGTCCTCAGCAGAAAGGAATTATGACATTGGGAATAAAGAGTTACTGGCAATTAACGAAGCCTTTTCTGAATGAAGGCATCTGCTGGAAGGGGCTAATCATCCTGGAACTGTTCTCACTGATCATAAAAATCTGGAATTCATTCGCTCGACCAAGAGATTGTCTTCTAGACAAGCACATTGGTCTTTATTCTTTTTCAGATTCAATTTTATTATTTCGTATCGACCCGGATCTAGGAATGGTAAGGCCGATGCCTTATCAAGGATGTTGTCTGAGCCTCCCCAGGAAGGCAACTCTGAATGTTCAATTCTAACTCAAAAGAACTACCTAGGGGTCACAAGTATGAAGACATTCTTGAGTCTTCTCAAAGAGGGGTATGAGAATGACCCTCTTCTCAATTATCCTCCTAAGGACATTAACCTTGAATACAAGAACGGCTTTTGGACTCAAGCACATAGTCTCGATGTACCAGAAACTGCTTGGGTGCAAGCCCTCAAATTTGTTCTTGACTCTAAACTTGCGTGACATTTTGGGATTTCTAAGACAGATGAACTTTTTCACGTTCCTTCTGGTGGCCTGGTTATAAGAAAGATGTCAAATGCTATGTGGCCTCCTGTCTGATGTGCGCACACCATAAGACACCCCGAGCTTCTCCTTTGTGGTTGCTCCAGCCACTTCCTGTTCCATCAGGACCTTGGGGGGTCAATTTCTATGGACTTTGTGGTCGATTTACCTTCCTCAAAAGAAATGACCACTATCTTGGTAGTCGTCAACCATCTTACTAAGATGGCTCATTTTATACCTGTTAAGGGGGTATCTTCTGCTGAACAAACTGCAGAGTTGATGGTTTGAGATGATTTTTTTAAACTACATGGAATTCCTGATGATGTGGTATCTAACAGAGGAGTACAGTTTACGTCCCAATTTTTGTTCAGCTTTTGTTCAGCTTTAGGTGTAACAATTAACCTGTCCTCTGCTTTTCATCCTCAGTCTAATGATCAGGCTGAGAGAACCAATCAAACTTTGGAGCAGTACCTTCAGTGTTTTGTTAGTTATCTTCGGGATGACTGGGTGGACTATCTTCCTACGGCAGAGTTTGCCTATAACAATGCTAAACATAGCTCCACCTCCCAAAGCCCTTTTTTCCTCAATACGGGTACAGCGATCTCCCTATCGCAACTCAAATTCCTGCTGTTGCCAACAGATTAACTACATTGCAGGAGATTCAGGCAAAGTTGATCGAGACTTTGGGGGAGGCTCAGGAATGTTATAAAAAGGCTGCCGACAGACATCGCTGATCACTTCCTACCTTTCACATGGGTATCAACCAAAAATTTGAAGGTTCATGTTCCATCTGCAAAGCTGGGCCAAAAGTTTGTGGGACCTTTCCAGATTTCTGCTCAGATCAACCCAGTCACCTTTCGCTTAAAACTTCCTGACAGTATGAAGATTCACCCTGTTTTCACATATCGCTATTCAAACCATTTCATGAAAATCCTTTCTCTGGAAGAATTCTTCCACCTCCGCCACCTGTTGAGGTACAGGGTGAAGAAGAATATGTGGTGGAGAAAATTCTTGACTCTAGGATGTTTAGAAAAAAATTGCAATATCTTGTCCAATGGGAAGGATATGGGCAAGAGGAGAATTCTTGGGAGCCTGAGGAAAATGTTCATGCTCCTAGATTAACAAGAGAATTCCACCAGAGGTTTCCCCACAAGCATGGTCCTAAGACATCCAGGGGACGTCCTGTGAGGAGGGGAGTACTGTCAGAGCCTGGGTCTGAACCTGGGCCTTCTGCGGTGAGTGGCAATGTTTCTTCTTGCTGAGCCACCTGGAATGCTGGACAGCTCCCTTGACAATTATTTGAATGATCCTTCCTTGACCTTG